GAGAAGACTTTGTTTCTTAATCACTGACTCACTGTAGTTTGTCTACAAACTCAGGACAAAGGTGTTTCAAAATATATTTTAGCATGGGCCAATAAATTAGTTTATTAAAATACCCTCAAGATAATGTGATAGGTTAACCCTAACCCTTTTACAGAAAAGAAATAGCAGGTAAAGACAAATGGTTAACATATAAAGATTTACTAGCATAGGGAAATGGGGAGCTTAAGATGAAATCAAGAGAACAATTGACTGCAGAGAGATTTAATTTTCAATGGTTCTCATATGCACAATTAAGAGACAGATCTGATATGAAAAAGTACCAGGAACAGAATGTGATAAAATGGAATTTAAAAATGAATTATGTACAAATTATGAATGTGAGATTCCTAAAATGTATAAACTTTTGTTGGGATTTGAAATGGAGGAAGAACAAGTTAAAGAATGTGTGGTAAAATGGGCCAAGAATTTTGGTTATAATATTCAGATGGATCAGTGGGAGAGAATGTGAGTTAAAAGGTCTGAAATCCACATTGTCTTACAATTAAAAAAAAAACTTTTAAAAAATGATGTACTGTTAGTATATGACACCAGAGAAATTGTCGAAGATGTATAAAGGTACTTCTAATTACTTTGGAAATGTGAAAAAAATGGACATTTTATCATGCATGGTGGACTTGTGAAAGAGCAAAAAGATACTAGATACAAATACATATGGTGATGTAGAGTTTTAAAAATTAACATTCACATGAAATTGGAACTTTCCTTATTAGGGCTTATGGACACTCAACTAGACTATAGAAACACTAATAATGGAGCAATGGATTTTGAAGATGGCTGAATTGACTTGTTTAAGAACTGCAACTACTTTTATAAAAGGTTAGAAACCCTTTATAGACTTTTTGCTGAACATGGATAAAAATGAACTGCTGATTTTGAGATTGATTTAAAAGGTTTGTTTATGGGAAGAAGGGAACTATGATATGTAGTATGGGAGGACAGAGATGGTAATTGCTATATTTGTAACTGCTACAAAGAAGATCAGAAGTCGCTTCTTTAGATATTTTTCTTTTTCTTGCTTTTTGGTTATTCTTCACTTTCTTTTATCCTTGTATAATCTCTTCCTATTTCTTCTCTGTTTCTGTAATTTAAAAAAAAAATCTTTGTAAAATCCTCTTCTAATAAAAACCATTCATTAAAAAAAGATAATGTAACAGGACTCAGATAAGATGCTTGTTTTACATGTCCAAGGTAAGTTATGGCATATATGTGAGATGGGAGTTAAGGTTATATTAATTTAGGCAAAGTTGCATACCTTTACAAGATTATTTTAAAAAAAGATGCAACAACATCCCACTTGATGTGGTCACCTACCAGAGGTGTAGAAAGGCCACTGCTGAGAATTTTGGTAGCTGAAGTCCACACATCTGGAGGATATCAGGCAAAGGCTGCATTTGGGGAAGAATGTATTGAGTAATTGGGAAGAGGAAGAAAGGGAAAACATACTGGACAATGTTATCTTGTGGACCCTTTGGTTTACCTTTAATCTTCTTCCAGACTAGGAGAAGACACACCCAACTGCTGGTTCTCTGATTTGTACACATGCAGATACAATTGCCATGTCATCTGCTTCCATCCATACCACAGAGGTCTGTACAAATGGAAAGTAACAAAGATGACACAACAGGAAGAAGAAAAAACTGCAACTGACCCAAACCCTGATTTGAAGACTTAAACATTTTCAGCTCATCAAGCGTGGGTAGATATTGCCTTATCACGATGACTAGGGAAAGGGGGCAAGGCAATCTGCAACGTTTTGATAAATCTTTCAACCAGGTTACCTATCAGCAAGATAGAAGGATTGGCACTGAACACCTAGGAAGAGAGCTGTGTTAGTCTATGGTGGCAAAAAAAAAAAAAGGCATTCTGGAGACTGAATTACTCACCCACCAAAATCAATAGACTAATCAATAGAGACAGATACATCCCCAGGGAGGACGTACCAAGACAAGCCACAGAAACAGAGTAATAGAACATCACTGGTTCTCACCTACAGCTCACAGCTCAAACAAATAATTAATGAACTGTAGCCCATCTGCACTTTCTCAGGAACTGGGTGGCAGGTCCATAGCTGCATACAGAAAACCACCCAACCTGAAGCAGATTCTCACAAGCAGCAACCGGACATTGACATCAACATGGGAATCAGACCCTGCACAAACTCAGGTGTCTACTTTGCCCTCACAATTACGCCAACAGCACCATCACAGTCCCCAACAAGTATACACACAAGAGGAGAGGTGCTTTATATGCTCTTCCTCCAATTTGATATATGCCATCATCTGCCAACAATGCCCCTTTGGGTTCTGCATACAACAAAGGAGACAAACTTTGCACAAAAATATTAATGGACGCAAGTTTGGCATCAGGACTCAAAACAAGGACTAAGTAAAATCACAGCATTTCAACCTTCCAGAGCACTCCATAGAAGACCTCAATGTACAGGTAGTCCTTGTTTAGTGACTGCCTTGTTTAGCTACCATTCGCAGTTATGAGTGATGAAAAAGTAAAAGTATGACCAATCCTTGCGTTTATGACCTTCACAGGTCTGTAAAGCAAGGGAAGATCTGAAGTAAGATCATAAGCACAGTTGTGGTTTCACTTAGTGACTACTTCGCTTAATGACTGAGTTGCTGATCCCAATTCTGGTCGTTAAATGAGGACTACCTGTAATTGTTTCATTGTAATTGTAATAACATTGTAATTGTAATTGTAACAGCACTATTAAGCAAGAAATTGTTGAATTCACATACATCAAAAGGATTCAGTTAATCTCAGGTCTCAAACACAATTAACATTATAATTGTTAACTGATAAGGCACTGTCAATCTGTCTCCTATCTAGCCTGCATAACCAACTTCCCTTCCCCCATCCCAGTTTAAATCCTTTATCAGTCTAGCCACTCTGTGCATGTGATGAGTTGAGCTGCTCCTCACAAAAGCTCATGCTTTTTAATAATCTTTGTTAGTCAAAAAGGGTGCTATGGGACACCCCCCCCCCTTTTTCCCCCCAGGAAACATTTGAATCCCTAATTACTAAATAGCACAATTGAAGCTTTGGGACTAGGAAAATCTCAACAAGCAGACATTTCTTCCAAATCACTGTTTTACTAAATAAGAAGTAATTTTGCAATGTTCACTTACCTGAAATTCTTGAGAAGCTTTACGTACTTCTAAAAGGTACATTTTTGCTGAATAAAAATATGAGTGGGTTTCAACTACTAGCTAATATGGCAGTGGATAAGTAAAAGAATGATTCTGAAGGCATAAATCCAGCATCTCTCTGATACTCATTAATTATTTTCACATGTCCCTCTCAGCTTGAAATAAAGGCATGGCCGCTTGAAGAGTCCATTAACTGCAACAAGTTAACTCCTTAAAGCACCGACAACTTTTTCAGCCTCAAACAGGATGGCTGCTTTAATGAATCACAGAGAGATGCTATGCTCCTGTAAGGTCCAAAACACTTGTTTTGAATCATTTTTCAGCATGTAGAGTTTTACTACCCACTGTTTGCTTTTTTTTTTTTTTGATCCAGGAAAACTCCTTAATTTAAACATGAGGACAGAAGGTTTCTGAACATACAGCTAGCTCCTATCTTTCACCTCAGGTTTAACTTCTAAAATGACACTACTATAGCAGCCTGTGCTTGTTTGAAATTAACCAAGCAACATTTTATTTAGATGTTTGACTTCTGACTCTACATTAAAACTAGCAGCATGAAGTCATGCAAAGTATCAAACACAAAGAGATGGGTCAAAACTCATTTAACCACCCAACTGCTACATCTCAAGATATTTTGCGTGCCTTAATGAGTCCTTATTACAATGCTGGTAGTACTTTTATGTAATATCACATCATTGCATTTTATCATTCAGAATCAGGATAGCACACCTAGTGGGCTGAATCATATTTAATGCCAAATCATGGTTTAGCACCATCTGAATATGTTCTGGGCTTCTGCTTGCCCTTCAAATGGGAACTGTAACTCCAGATTCAAGCAGCACTTGGGGGGGGGGAACATAAAAGCCTCATGTTAGGCTTGAAATGTAGTAACTGAGTCAACAAGGTAAAAGGAAAGGCAGAAAAGTACACGGGAGGTTTAGTCCTATAGGATACATCGTCTCAAGCTACATGCAGCTTGTCCATACCCCAGGGTTGCCCTGCCAAATTTCAGTGGTAAAATAACCAAAGCTCAGCTGCATTTTTCCCTTCAGAATTCAAGGGGCCCCCAAACTCCAAAAAGATGTTTATGTTGTTTCATTTCTGGATTTTAAGGGTGCAAATAGGAGGCTAGAACCTTTTGAGTCCTAGCCTTCACTCCCCATGCTGAAAAATAGCCCCGAATAATGTGATTTGAGGCTATTTGATGGAGTGGAGAAACTTTTTGATGATGGTTTGCCTTCTGGAAGCCTCTCACTCTCATTCACATCCTTAAAATCCTAATAGAAGGGGCTGAAAAATCCTGCCCCATTTTTTCTAGTGATGTCACTTTTCCTGATGGCCTGTTGCAGCTGGCATGCTAGGGGTTGCACCCCCACCCCTGCAAAAGTGGCCCAACACTGGTGTAGCAGCCAACTATGGTTCACACAGCACCTAAATGCTATGCAGAGTACTTTAAGGCAACATGTTTGGGATTGTTTCCAAAAAGCACTTCCAATTAACAATGCTTAGGAACACCCAGCCATCCTGTCTTATTTGACTATTGGCCCTGCTGATAGGAGATCATGGAAGATGAAGTCCAGAAATATTTGGAGGGCTACAGCACTCTGCATCATCTCTGCTGTAAAAGAGAACTGTTATGTTCCCAAGAGAAAGAACAAGATGAAGAGGCTATGCACAACACAGCAAGTAACAGGGATATAAACCATTACAGGTAACAACAAAAACCCAAAAGTTTGAGTTGGAAATGGGAATATCTATGATCCAAACAAATCATTGCACAATAGGACTTTCCATTTATTATCTTTGCCACAGTACAAATATTCACAAATCAATCATCCTTTCACTGTCAAAGTATGTAAACAAGGGCCCACATTTGTCCCTATCCCAGGCTTAGGTTTGTGAATGTCCTTCATGGTCAAGGATTGACATTTTATCATTTGAATGTGGAATAAGGAGCCCCTTCTCTTGATACATATTTCCTATCCAGACAGCCTGCGCAATGCCATAAAATCACAGTGAACACTCTGGATAATCATGATCTTTACAACAGGACCCAATCCATTAGGTCAATAAATGCATTTAAATGAGGTTCCAGTTCCAGAAATTAACAGTTAGAAATGCTAGTTTCTACATAAAAACAACCTAAAAAATAACAGTGAACCAACCCATCTCTTCCTTTATTTTACAGTTTAAACAGTTTCACTTGCAAAGATACTTTCCAGTCAGGAAAACAGTAGTGCAATTTAAGTAGTTATATTTCATTCAAAAGTTACGTATGTCCAGTACACAATGCCATAGCTTCTATGGAAAGATAAGAAGATGCTCTGGTAAACAAGGGAAGAAAAATTGGCAAGCCCATGCAGGCTTACAAGTCCGTTAAAGCTTGTGTTAAAGTGTTGCTGTGGTTTTTTTTTTAATTTAAAAAAGTTTTATATATAAACTAAAAAAAAAAAGCAGAAATAAATAGACAAATGACTGCAAACTGTCTTGAAATTGAAAATTTCTCATTGACAGCTGATGCAAGTTGACTTTAAAACAGAAAAAGAGTTGACCTAAGAGGTTTTCTTGCTGTGGCACTGAAGCCTAGAAAACTCTACTACATTCTTAATTTAAATAATAATAACTGTGACCACAAAGTCACATGATGCTGTGGTTGAATGTTTCCTCCAGCAGCCTTATTTTGATTTCTTCTTGAAAAGGCTCTTGATTCTGGATGATTTTTTGTTTCGTTCTCCATTCTGACAGAGGTCTTGTGAAATGCTACTTATCCGGGAGACAGGAGAAGGTTCGTGTCCTGCTCTGCTTTCGCTGCTGGTGGATGAACATGAGGTGTGCCGAGGCTTGGGGACAGGACCGCTGCTGGAGAGCTGGTTCATGCTGCAGGACTTCTCCAGAATGCCATTGTACACCTTGCTTGCAGGACTAAAGATCATACTTTTAGTTTCTGTCAGCCCAACACAGTCTGGAGAACCCCTGGAAATATCGGCTGTTAGGGAGGAAGAGTCTCCAGTAGACGACTGTTCTAAGGAGAGGTCCTCCCGGGATACTTTTTGAGGTGACAGGGGTTGATATATTTCAAGGCTTGAAGGGGGAGATTGTTTCCTTCCAACTGAAGAATTGAAGGAGTCACATTCAGAACCTGTGTCCTGAACTTCCCTACAACACAGAGGAGACAGAGTTGGAAGGGATCAAACTAGTCTATTCAATCACTCAACTCCATTCAAAATGCAAAGTAAGTTTTATATACCTCATTCAAGGCACCACAGAGTCTAGAAATAGTTACATTCTAATGGAGGTCACAGTATTTGCAGCAAAAGACAAGGCAAAAAATCCTTCTCCTGACTCACTACCTTCATATGTCTCTTTCATACCCATCCTTCTTAGCAATTATCCTTAAAATGAGGCATTTTCCCTTCTGGTTTACATAAAAAGGAATGCCTCTAAGATTTTGCTTCCTAAAATACCTGCATGCATCGTAAAAGAGCAAGTATGTATGTATGTCTGCAATTCTCAATTAAGTTTAATGTTATACAGGACTGCAGCCTCAACTGAGAATCATAATTTGAATCAGTGGTAACCATATAAATAAATATAAGAATTCATCTCATTCCATTGCACGGGATCAAATGACATACTTTTTTCTTTTCAAAATTATATATGGAAACATTTATTTAATACTTTTGATTAAAAATAAATATTTAGAAATAAGAACTGTTTATCTGATCCAACACCGTATTCACAAAACTCTACAAATTACGGAAATTGCTCTTTAAAGAGGTCAGAAAAATGTTGTCGTCACACATTTTTAAGCAAGTTTGCAACCCCCAAACACATCATTACCTCACAGATACCACCCTTTTCTGGATTTTGCAACTCATAAATTGCATATAAAATGTATATAATTTAAAAGGAAGATGCATATATTATGCACATTGTGTAAGGAACAATACATGCACAAATCTTCCTTACCATTCCCATATCTCATTTTAAGGCTTCAAACCAGAGGGAAGGTAACTGCCCAGAGGAGTGGTAGGCAAAGGGATTCCTTCCAAATTTCAACAATTCCCATAAGCCCCAGCTGGCACAGCTGATGGCATGCAATCACAGGAGTGGTTTTTCAAATGATACGGAAGTCACTAGATAGCTTTTGCATACTTAAGACATTAAGGTGGCTCCAGGAAACTTAAATAGATGAATTATGCAGAAAGTCCCTTGTATTGTTGGGTTCAGTATCAGTGCTGATTTCACCTCCACTGCAACAGCTTAAACACTGGCAATTCCTTTGTAATTCGTGGCAAAGACATCTACCTGCCTGCTATAGCAAGTGTATCTCTAAGAGCCCTGACATTTGTAGTCAGTAATCCTTGGTTTGATATATAAAGCCCTACAAAGATTAGGACTATACTTAAAAGGACTCACTAGATGGCAGTATCTAGTCAATCTTGTCTGATCTAGAAAGCTAAGCAGATCCTGGTTAGTACTTCGATGAAAGTCTATGCGGGAGTCCCAGGAACCAGACTAGAAAGTTTAGAAAAAAGATCTCCAAAGAAGGCAATAATGAGTCATTTCTCTATTATTCCAAGATGGCTTCATGGACGTGTCCACATAACTCAAGAGGCCGCTAACCCTACTCAAAGACAACCTCACTTTTACATCTAAGAGAACTTCAATTTCTGTGCTCATCAGAGTCTTAGATCTAAAGGAAACATGTATTCCTTCTTGGTGCTAAAGTTTGGAGTGGAGGACGCACAGAGATCATTCTCCAAAACCTGTTCTAATGAAGTCTATACATGAATGTATCTATGTTCATACCATTGCTTGTCAGCAGTGAAGTAAATGGCCTCCTCCTCCTCTTCGGTACGGTAAGCAGCAGGGCAACTGGACACTGAAAGGATGTCTGGGTCTGCAGAGTGCAGTGCAGTTTGCATATGGGCAGCATGTTGTGTTTGTGCTGTGTGTTGCAACTGAGGTGACGACGGCACAACGTTTCGCCTGGAGCGACACATGCTGCTACTCCTTGCTAGGGTGCTGGTTTTTACAACAGACCCTGAGAACAACAGAACCAACAGATTCAGAAGCAAGTCATCATTTTAGCTTCCCAGCCAAACCATTACCCTGCTTCATAAAGATCTGAAACACTTTGAAAATCGTTTTTGTTGTTTCATGTCTTTTTCTTCCTAACTATTATACAGGTAGTCCCCAGTTTAACGAGTTCTGTTCCCAATGTCTGTCCTCAAGTCAAATCTGTATCTAAGCCGGAACAGTATAACACCGTATAAGTAGTCTTGTGTAATTAACTCAAACCATTATTGTGTATTTAACTTGACTTTGGCTACAATAGGTTCCATTCTTAACTATGGGTCGTCCGTAACCCGGGCGTTCTCAACCCAGGGACTACCTGTACTTAAAATACATCAGCAAATGAGACAGACAAGGCAAGAGTGACACTGAGCTCTACTTGTTGGCATTTCACAGTAGGTTTGGTTACCACCTAATAGAGGAGGCCACCTGACACAAATATTTAACAGGAATCAATATTGTCCCACTGAATATGCTGTGTTTAATTGGAAAATAGGAATTTTATTTACATCTGCTATAAAGGTACAGATCAAAACTTAGCTTAAAATGTAAGAGGTGGGAAAATGTATTTTCACACAGGCTAAAATAAACACAAGTCATAGATCAGAACAAAACCAATAGAATAAATCCAGTATCCTGCTTTATTTGAAGCTATGCATAACTCAGGGATAAAGAACACATTGCTGAGCTACAGCCTTTATCATGTTGGTCATGCTGGCTGGGGGCAATTTAGTTCAGCAGCATGTGGAGGACCAGAGGTCTAGGGAATCCAAAAAGTATATAATAGAAACCAAAATACCTTCAGTATTGAAACCACAACTGCACGGTATGGCTGACTGGATGATCTGGGCTGAATGCAAACAGTTTTAAACAAGACTGTGGTGTGCTTAGAAGCCTAACTGCAATTAACTCTATTAATTATAACAACAACACATCTCAGTAACTACTTCTCCATGAGCTGCAAAATAAGCCAAATCATTTTCTAGTGCTGCAGATGAGTATCTATGGCAAAGCCTCCATCAGAACTTCGGTAGCTCTCACAGGAATGGCCAAAAGCACTGTCAGGATGCTCTACATAACACTCATAACCACAATCAAAACTCTCAATGGAGAGTAAAAAGAGAAAGCATCCCGTTTTCCAGTCTGAACAGAACAGGGTAGAAAATGTTACAGCCCAATTAACTGAAGTGCAGTCTTGGAGGAAAACCGCCTGCTTTTAAGGCACAATCATTTTTGCCCTCCTTTCCTCACCCTTCCTCCATTCAGCCATGGGGAAGACTGCTTCCTCTCCAGAAAAAGAGAAATGCGACAAAGTCAGCGGGCATAAAAACTTTCCTCCTTTACAATAAGGCTTTTTAAAAACCTTACAGCCTGCACCCAAGATTCTCCCTTTGGATAACACTCTTTAATTCTTCAGGCTTATTAAGCAAGTCAGGAAGCAGGTTTCCGCTGGGCCTTCCAAAATGCAGCATTTCCTTTTTCTTCTCTCAGAACAAGGAAAAGAAAGCTTGACCCAAAAAGACATAACTTGGTGGTAGCCAACAGGAGGAACAGCAGCTCATGGAGAACACACTAGAGAGTACACTGTCAACAATCCCTTGTTTGGGGCTTTTCTTTGTAAAAAAAGGAACGGTGGGGAGAAGAAGGAAACAGCCTTCAGAACAGAGATGGGGAAACGCGTCCAGATTCCATTTTAAAGCCAATGCTTTCTAGCTGATATTTAACTACAAATACTTTCAGCTGTAGCAAACGTGTTAAATGCTCAGGTGTGATGAAAGTTGCAGTCTGACTTCTGGAGCATCCTAAGTTGCCTATTCCAACTCTAAGCAAACTAGAATAGAGTTACTGATGAACCTGACACTTTCTTTGACTTCATGATGGAAAGTGTAATGATAAATATGTGAACAAAAAGGCCAGTGTTAAAAGTGCACACACAAAATAAATGACAAACCACTGCAAGAGATGAAAAGGGTGCACAAAAAGTATGTTAGGAGGGAAATGCAAAATGTGCATGTAAAATTGCCACTGATTAGACAGAACTAAACAGTTGGGTATTTTCATAAATACCTAAATCCAAAATCCTTTTGTCTTCCATGAAATATCTCTTATTCCACCTGGTTTGGTGAATTCAACTGATATTCCAAGAATCTCTGTTCTACTGATCTTTATACATCCCTCTGATCCTCATTTCATATTTCAATTTGTACATTTCGTATTTTTAGTCTTTAGCCATAATTGTGTGTATCCCCAATTGTCCAATGTCACATGAGATATCCCACCACATACCATGAAACTGGGAAACAATTGGAGGAGTATCTTCATCAAGGTCATCTACTCCCCCTGCAATGGGATATGGTGGAATGGAAACTCGTGGCATTACCACCCAGCTATGATCAGAATAGAGGGATGAAGTCAGACTTGGTAGTCCTGAGTTATGTGCTATTTGGAAGCCACAGATCTTCTCAATCTGTTGCCATCGATAGAGTCGTTCTCGCAAACAGGTGGTTAATTCAGAAAGTGCTTTCCTGGGAAGAAGTGAGAGATTAAAACAAGCTATGTCACATACACCCAGAAATATTTAAATACCAGTCAGCAACAAGGCTTCTGCATTCGGTGCCACCCCATCCTCAAAAGCAACCCCATGTAAAATTGCAATAGTGTAACTGAGAAATGATAAAAGTATCCATTACTCTATCCAGTGCCAGTCCAGGACAGAAACACTGAAGCTGGCCAAAGGTTTTCCTGGCCACAGCTTCTACCTGCTGCCCTAGCAGGCACTGTGGGTCCAGAAGAACACCTAGGAATACCTCCTTCAAGGGAAGTGTTTTCCTATCAAGAGTAGGAAAGCTTCAGAGGCCTTCCAAAGCATCACAAGAACGGGGCACGCTATTTGAAGAATGGCGCAAGCTGCCTTGGGAAGAAGGCCTAGTGTGGCCAGCAGCTGCCTCGCATAAGGCTGGGCTAGGCGTGCCCCATCAGCAGTGGGAGGAAGATGGCTAAGGTCAGCTGGGAGTGGCAGGGCCTACGAAGCACAGGGCAGCGTGGACTTTGCAGTATGGCACTCAGGTGGCTGGCCACAGCATGGGGTTTGAGGCAACACTCCTCAGTGGCAGCACTGGGGCTGAAGTAGACGCCTGGGAGCAATGGGAGCAAGTAGACGCCTGGGAGCAATCGGCTGAGACTACTGAAGTCCCAGGCCTCTATTTTAGACCCAGCGCCACCGCCGAGGAGTGCCGCTATGCAGGGCGGCCAAAAGGAGAGAGATGGGGGAGGAGATAGGTGGGTGGGGGAGTTGAAGTGCTCCTGTGGTCAGGCTGCCAAGTGCCTGAATTTTGATCATGTGACTGCGGGGGTGCTATAACGGCTGTACCTTTGAGGACCAGGCATAAGTACCATTCATTCAATGCCACTTTGAATGGTCACTGAACGAATGGTCATAACTCAAGGACTACCTGTAGAACATCCACATCACTAAAATGTTTCTGAAACAGCAGCAGCACTGTCTTGCTTGGATTTAGTTGCAGCCTGTTTCGCCTGATCCAATCCCTGACACAGCTCTAGGCATCACATCAGAACTTCCATAATATTTCCTGCTTGGCCAGGGTCAAGAGGTAAAACTTGATTTATTGATGATCCCTAACCCTAAAGCAGTGGATGAATTTTCCCAGGGTTTTCATGTAGTTGCTGAATAAGATGGGAAAAAGGACTGAGGTCTGGAAGATCCAATGCTGAAATACTCAAGGACTACACCGCTCCTCCCCAACACCACCAATTGACACCACACACTCAGAAAGGAGCAGAACCACTGCAAAACAGTGTTGCAGATGGTTCAAAAGGATACCATGGTTAATGGTAATGAACACCACTGAGAGATCTGGCATGACAAGAAGTAGTACACCATCAATCTCCAAATCTTTTTGTAGATCATCTACAAGAATAACCAATCTTGGTCACCATCCCATGCCCATCCCTGAAGCCCAACTGGAAAGGATCCAGATAATCCATCTTATCCAAGCCACTATTAAGCAGAAGCTCAACTATCTTCTCTACAACTTTACTAATAAAGTAGGTTAAAGATTGGACTATAATTCTCCAGGATGGACAGATCCTGGAATGGTTATTTTAAGAAGGGGGAGCACCACTGCCTCCTTAAGCACTGGAGATATTATCCCCTCTAACAACACACTGACCATCCTGGATCCACACTGTTGTGCCCATTCTAGCAGCTCATATTAGCTAGAACAGACAAGATCTAATTTGCAGGCAGCTGTAGTCATCCTACAGACAATCCTGCCACTTCCTCAACCAGCACTAGTTGAAGGAATTCCTTCAACTTATTTTGAATTTTTAATTTAAAATGCGTGAGCCCATTAAAAAACAAGAATTCTGTAACCAATACACAGGGCCTCATACCCACTTACTTTGCTTCCAGAATCTTATGGTCCACTTCATCAAGTGAAGAGCTGTGTGCAACATGTAATGTTCCAAATACAGTATTTCTCTTCTTTTTAATCTTTTCTGCCTAAAATTAAGCATTACAGGAATTCAAGGCTTATTAAAGCAACACGAAAAGGCAAACAGAGATACATTCTCTTCTTGTGGTCAGTACCCAAAAAGACATTCTGTCTTAGCTGCATCTTCAAAATAGAACAAATATGTTATTGAGGCTCTTCACTTTTGACAGTAGAGACAGACTATGGGATGCTGGTTTGAAACCACGGTTCAATGAGAACTGCAGATCATCTCCAGTTACCAGTAACAGACATATGCTCCTGCAGCATGGGCTAATAGTCAAGACTGATAATTATTTGATAATTCATCTCTCTGCCCTGTCTATTTCAAGGAACGGCCCACCACTTTTGCAGTATCATTTCACCAGCCAACTATTACCAAGGCTGAGATGGCTGCTATTATCATAGCTGTCCTGTAAAAGTAGGCAAGGTGAGGCTTGCATAACCATAGGAAGTCTTGGAAGCTGCTTCACAAATACGCAGGTCTTCTCACCCAGTAGCCATGGATGAGGAACATTATCAATTTTTACTGTATTTTATTATTTAAATCATACTTTTTCATGCAGGTAAAGCCCCCCAACAGACCACAATTTTTTTTTTAAAAAAAATCGACCTCCTGAAACAAACTCTGTTTAAAAGAATAACTTGAGTGTGTGGCCTTCAGTGTTGCTCTCCTGGTCTTTTAAAGCAGAGGCAAAAATAATGGCATTTAAAATATTAATATATTAAATTCATGAAAACCTGGTCTCGCTCCATCTAGCAGAGAGGCTATTAGAATCACAGAGACAGCTATTGAGGATGCAGCTCTTAAAAACGGGCGCAGCCACAGGAATGGGGGACAAGAGAATGCAGCATTCTAGAATTCAAAGGGCTATTTTTTTCCCCACACCATTTGAAACTGATTTGGGATTCAGGAGCAGAAAGTTCCATTCTCCCTCTGGACGATTTGAAACTCCTCCAAACCATGCCATTCCGCAGCATTTCAGCGGGTTCTAGAAGCAAATCCTCCACGCAGCTAGCAGACTGAGGTCTTCCAAGCATGGCATTCTGGAAAGGTCATTTTCAGGGCCAGGCCATTTCAGACTGCTTCCAGTTTGGAGAATGAGTTTCTAGAACCTGCTGCCGCACTCCCAGAACAGAATGGTGCAGAAAAGGTTCTGCATGGATTAAAGGGGAAATGGAACATTCTGGAGCGCTCAGGAAAGTTTCATCCCAGAACCACTGAGTTACGGTCCTGCATCCTGGGATGATGAACATCAGTAACCAAATCCACAGGCTTCATTTTTCCTCCTTTTGATCTGAATAATTCAGGCATGTACCTTACCTCTTCCTTGGCAATTGCTAGCTGCATTTCTGCATTTTGTCTCTTAATATTATAGTACTGGACTTCCACTTCATGTGTTAGCTGGAGCCATTTCTGCAGTGCATCTGGAATAGACCAATTACTTCGCAATTCAAATTCCTTCTCAGCCTTTTTTAAGGCCATACGGACCTGGGGTCAAGAGAAAAACACAAATGCATTCAGGCACTACATCTGATAAAAGCTTTGGCCTGTTAAACATTTTGTCTGTAACAACATCTGTTAGAATCAATGGTTTGTTGAATATTTACATATAAGGCTATGGTAGTGGGGTAATGAATTGGTTAATTCATTAAAACATCTGAAAGAAATGCCTTCAGTTAATCAAATAGAAGACGAGTCTAGTTCTTGTCCTACTTTGGTGCCCAGGCAGCCTGTAAACTTTCCAGGTTCTCTATTTCCACAGATCAGATTACCCAGCTTCAACTTCTTATTTCTGAAATATCTTTCTGAAACTGACCTCAATTTGCCTCACTGATTTACAATTTCATTTGTCCCTTACTTTATTATTTATGTATCTACAATATAGTGATGAACACACATTTATGTTTTTATCATTATACTGTATCAAATCCAGATCAGATCAGATCCTTCTATTCTCCCCCCCAAAGCCAGAGAGGGACAGCCCCATTTATCACAGAAATGTACACTGATACTGCTGTTATTGTTCGCATTTGATTTTTGTAAGTACAAGATTTCTTACAAGGGAAGCTTTGCAAATCACGTGCCACTGAATCCAGATGGAAACTGAAACTTAGAATGTAAATTTGCAAATACCTGCACTAGCTCCTCTTCTGCGTATTTAAGTCTGCTGAGTTCACATTCAGCTCCTTCCCTTAACTCTCTTAGCCGACAGGCTTCTCGTTTTGCATCGCTGATTTCATCCATCATCTTGCGCTCTAAGTTCTGTTTTTCTACAGCAACTGTTCGATTCTCTTCCTGTGCTTTTTCAAGCCTTCAGGGTAAACAGTTTTTAGCACAAATTAACTGCAGGTATCTAATTCTTTACATGGTTCAATTAACTAGACAAACACTTTAAAGTTATTCTAAGGTATCTTTCTGTATCACATCCACATCCATAAATGTGGATGTGGAACAGTGAAAGATTACCAATCTCTTGACAAATCAGTTGGGTTTTATTCTGAGATTATCTTAAGTTAGGGCAGGAGCATTTGGCTTTGTCAAACATGTCAAAATACCTTTTTTACAGGAAGCTTAACATAAAGAGAATGAATAGCTTCACGACTAAGACTTGCAGCCATACCATGAGTAGAGTAAAGGGCAGCTGGAAGCTTCTACTTTCTCAGCTTTGGGGCCTGTCACATTTTGTAGCAACAACTTTATAAAGTTTCTGAATACCCTAATGCACTATATAATCCCAGCTTTTTCAAATACCTTTCTTGTAATTCACAAAGACTCTGTTCTGCCGTCTGAAGGCTTTCCAAATCTTTCATCATTTTGGTAATGTGCTCTTTTGAAGTCCTGTTCTGTGTATATGCAAACCAGCAACCTCCGATACCAATCACTATAGAGATTGTGAGTATGAAATCTTTCATCCAATTGTGGGGCGGGCCTAGAAAATGCAGTTATACGTTAGGTTAGTTTGGAGCGTTAAAACGTATTTCAGCAATATTCAAATAAATGCAAGAGAGCCTCTCCTGTCCTCCTCGGTGTGAACTTAAGAACAATTCTGAAAGTGCTCAGTTCTATTTTACTGAAAGTACATGTTATTCAGACACTACTTGTGGTGTAGTTTATGAATCTGACAAGTTTCTACTAACCTGTTTGTACTAACTACAGTAAAAATAACAAGACTTTAGGCTTTGATGGCATACTAAGCTGTAGTTAATGAATCTAAAGGGGGAACAGAAGCTCACAACCTCATTGTGGCTAGCAAAGCATGGAAGAAGGAATTAAGCAAGTCTAAAATTAGTTAACATAGTTAAGTACTGTGTAAACCCAGCCATTATTCTTACCCAGACATTCGAAAAACATTCCTCTTGGAAATTACTACCCATATTGATTTACCACTGTAATAACATGCCAGATCGTGCAGTGCTTCAGATTCATTTTCAAAGAGTTACTTTGAAGCAAATTGTTGAAGCAGCTTATCTGTTTCCAGGACGGTATGGCATCTCTTTACAGCAATATAGAAAAGGACATAGCTGCTTTAATAAGTTGCCTGCAAGTGCAGTGTTCATTCTCTTGTGCATTCTGAAGCAGCATTTTGGAATTGAGTCCAAAGCACTGCCCAGCCCTAATACAAATTTCATTTTTTTTTTAAATACAATGGAACCTCAGTTTACGAACTTAATTCGTTCTGTGACTCTGGTCGCAACCCAAATTGGTCGCGACCCGAAGCAAATTTTCCCATAAGGTTCAATGTAATTATCGTTAATCCGTTCTGGTGTGGAGCACAGGGAGGCGGCTATTGCTTGGAGGGAAAGTCCCCCTCCCTACGACCATGTGTCAGGGGTGGAAAATGGCCGCGGATCACGTGTCAGCAGCGGAAACATGGCCGCGGACCATGTGTCAGGGGCGGAAAATGGCCGCGGACCACGTGTCAGGGGTGGAAAAATGGCTGTGGATCACGTGTCAGGGGCGGAAAAATGGCCACGGACCACGTGTCAGGGGCGGAAAATGGCCGCGGACCACGTGTCAGGGGTGGAAAAATGGCTGTGGATCACGTGTCAGGGGCGGAAAAATGGCCACGGACCACGTGTCAGGGGCGGAAAATGGCCGCGGACCACGTGTCAGGGGTGGAAAAATGGCTGTGGATCACGTGTCAGGGGCGGAAAAATGGCCACGGACCACGTGTCAGGGGCGGAAAATGGCCGCGGACCACGTGTTAGGGGCAGAAAATGGCCGCAGACCAGGTCACGGGAGGGAAAATGGCCGCGGATCCTGTTCGTAACCTGAGGCGGAGTTCGCGAACCGAAGCAAAATTTTGCGGCCGGAGCTGGTCGTCACCCGAAAAGTTCGTGAACAGAAGCGTATGTAACCCGAGGTTCCACTGTACTAAAAACCTAGCAGCATGAGCACAGACTTTGAAAACATATTCCCTTTCACTAATCATCATTTAGCCTGAAGAGTTCTGAATCAACCGCTGCTTTGAAAAATACCTTACTAGACTTTACAGTCTCCTTCACAGGATCTAATCTAGTCCAAAAGTATTTTACTTAACAGCCTGTTTCCAAAGAACCAAGTGCACTGAGCGGCTTGAGAGTTGTGTTCTAAAAGCTGCGGTCTGCCACACATGGAAAACCACTTCTGAAATTAAAAGAATCCCAAAATAATCTCACAGTATGCTATTTTAGCTTGCTTAAAGAACAAGATATCCAACTGGGCAGGCGTAAGTCCAAAGTAGCCTTGCAAAAGAAATCTTAAGAAACTAAACACAGAGAAATACTTACTAGTCTAAAATATATATCCATGTCTATTTCAATCATTTGTGACTCAACAAAATTAAAAAAAAAAAAAGAAGTAAAGCTTCCATGCTTGGCTCTGGGAAGCAATTAATAATCACCCCAGGAGATTTCACAAGTGCCTGACCTAAGTTATATTTGAATACCAGAGTCTTAAGCTGCTATATGCAAATGCAACAGGGCTTCCAACCTGAGCCAAAGATGAGGAGGAGAACTTCACAAATGGCTACGCTAAAGTGATTTTCTAAGATTTTCAACAACTGACTTTTCCTAACAGAGATAACTGGATCCAGATGTTTCTTCTGTGCATGGACTTTATATAGCACATATACAGGCAGAAAGTCTACCAGTAGGAAGTTTTATTGTTACAACAACAGATAATTTCAACTCTGGTCACAGAGAGAAGCTGGGCACTTGATGTAATGTTCACATCTTCCCTTCTGCTTTATATTTTCTCCCTCTCTCTGACACAAATATACACAATGGACAGAAATTTATTCACATAAACCCTTAATAATAATAATACCCTTGTATATATCATTAGATTATACTCTGAAGTACAAATATAAGAAAAACATTAAAAAGTATAATTCTGCTAGTAGTTACAAATAATGTGTGCTTTTATGGAGGAGAGCGAAAATGTACTAACGTGTAAGAGGCCCAAATAAAACCACATCCAAGGCCTTCAGCTGAAGTTTCTGCCTGTGGCTCCGATCAATAATTTTCAACTGTGAGATCATAAATGCAGGCTCATTAACTGCTATCCTGTGCACAATAAAGTAGAGATTTTAAGAATGCTGTCCTGAAAAGAACTGTTAAGGGCATAACTAAAATGCATATTGTGTCATGTTCAATAATCTACAATCACACAGGCACTGTTTTTCCATTACCAATTTCATGGATTACATATACACAGATGATGATATGCCTGTAATATGTTACGGTAATTATACAAAAATGTTCATCTGTGAGATCTGTGCAGCAGGTTAAAAATCATACTACAAAATGGATGGATCCACTCTTCCCCAAGAATTTTATTATATCATGTGTATCAGCAGCAGCACAAGTAGTAATGTGCTTGGAGGCTCCATCTCCAGAAAGCTAAGCTTGCCGTGTGTGTGTGTGTGTGTGTGTGTGTGTCCATTAACAGTAGTAATACTGAAGATGTGCAAGGCTAAGGAAATAATTTTGTCCCTTAAATCCCTCTATATCAAATAGAGTTTACAGTGTTCCTATTCAAGAACAGTGACTGTGCTGTTACTCAAGAGATACGTAGATGATCTTAAAGTACAATTTTGGGAAACATTTAAAAATAATGGACATAAGTGCCATATCATCACATATAATCCTTACACATATAATTGCTTCATGTAAATGCAATCCTGCACTAAAGAGAAGAATCTCTGAACAATATTTTAACATAATAAATATTTAAAGTGCTTTAACATTAATATATTTCATTGTTCATGTTCGGTGCATACTGGAAGCATGATACTACAAAGAGAAAAATAGGGAAAGTATGTGCGTTTCACAGAAAATGTTTTGCTCCTCTCTCAAAATAATGCTCAAAATTGACCAAAAGAAGGTACAACTTGTGCAGAATTTAACTGGGTTGAAAAAGTCACCTTGGCAATGTGGTTCCTTTAACATTATTTTCTCTGAAATTCTTCTCATACTGAGGAAGTTCAACAAATTCCACCAACCACTGAAGCGTCTCTTCTTGCGTCCAGTTGTGAACTACAAAAATGTAAACAAACATTATTTTGCGCAGACCCGATTATCAAGAATTAAATCAACAGTACAAATAAAAAGCAAAAAGTACTTTATTGGCAAGTTTGCAGTTCTCATCATGTGCTCATCAGAATGAAGATTACCAAAAGATTATAAACAAGTAATTCTTTAAAATATTCCTTTATTAAAAATTCCATGGCGTATTTGAAACATAAAATCTTGTGACCTATAAAATGTACCCAGAGCTTTTGATCCCCGCCATTCTCTTCTACAGAACTTGGCATCAGAATTGATTTGAGACCTTTTCTCGCATGCAACAGAGTCAATGTATGTACTTCAGAATCCCATACATTTGTATAATTCTGATGTGTGTACAATACCAAAGGAAGATGATGACAATGAGAAGTGAGAAAACCAAGAAACAAAAGCAAATATAGAGATACTGAAATAAACGATCTGTGCATTTAATCCAAATGCACTGTATCAGCTACTGACTTATATAGCAAATTGATGGAAGTAATACATACTGAAGAAGGTAAGGGGTTCTTCTTTTTACTGACATACAAGGCTATTAATGATAATAGGCTGAATGGTTTAAGATTCTTTGTGTTCCAATACACAAATAACAAGAAAGCATTATTACATTAATATAGAAGAAACCATCACCTTGGCCTTGGCTGGCAGATTTAGGAATTACATGGTACTATCGCTACCCACCCTTTTTGAGAGCCAGTTTGGTGTAGTGCTTAAGCCACCAGGCTAGAAACTGGGAGACTGTGAATTCTAGTCCCACCTTAGGCATGAAGCTAAATGACCTTGGGCCAGTCAGTCTCTCTCAACCAAGGGAAGGAGGCAATGGCTAACCACTCTCACCAACAAAACTGCAGGGTATTGTCGAAGGCTTTCACGGCCGGCATACGATGGCTGGTGTGGGTCTTCCGGGCTGTGACCGGCATCTTCAGAGTGCAGGAGCACAGACAGGAGCAGTTCTCTCTGTGCCCAGGGTGAAGTGACCCTTCTGTGGTTATTTATAGAAAAGATGCCGGTCACAGGTGCTGGCGAAACGTTAGGAAACAAGACTTCAAGACCACGGCCAC